CCACTTGGCAAACCTGGATTGGGCTGAAGGTCTGCAATTAGAGTCAGGCAATGGAGAGTTTAAGCTCTAAGGTTGATGCGAAGCTTTGTATGCTTAGAGATTCATGCGCGGCATGTTGCCATCCAGAGCGTAGTGCGGGGCGTGCTGAGGTTGCTGACACCTACGTCGATTCTGGCTAGAGGTGTCTTGGAAGTATGGGAATATCCTTCTTTTTTTTTTTCTAGACATGCAGCACTGTTCACCTTACAACAAAGAATCACCCAGACTCGTGTTGCGATTTTGGTCTGCGGAGGGGGGTCGTAATAATGAATAAGCTAGGGGGGTTAGGGTAGGACTGTGTAGCGCAGGTAGCGTTGTTGCCAGGGCCGAATTCTGAGCACTTTCCGGCGATCAACATGTCCAAAGTGTAGCATACCCCATGATTTACAGGGGGTTCGTGGCCACAGAGCAGCTTCGGAAACAACAGGTTTCGTGTAATCTTGGAGAAGCAGCATAAGGATTTGGACCCACGAAAACCAGCGTTTTAGCATACTTGCATTTCGCCAAATTTGCCCTTTTGAAAGTTCGCCTATCAGATGGCGGAGGTGGCATCTGGAAAAATAGGCATCGTATCATGTAGGTGTTAGGAATCTTCATCGCTGTGTACTTTGCGCAAGTACCTGAAGAGACTCATTCGTTGTTGGCAGATAATTCATAGTAGGGGATGAGGGGGCACAGTTTTTGGGACAAGGAAAGGTTTAGGAAACTTGGGAGCTTGATGTGCCATCCTCATGAGCCACCTAATTCTCCTCATGTTGCTATTGTTGCTGTTGTCGTATATAGTGATTAGGGTTTAAGGGGAAAGGGCTGAAGGTTTGGGGTTTGAGGGTTTAGGAATCTTCGGAGCTTGATTTGCCATACCCGTGAGCACTCATCATTCCCCCTGTTGTTATTGCTCCTTTGGTTGTCATTGGTTTTAGAAATTCATAAGTTTATAGGTAGAAGTCTTATGTCCCTGTGATTATGGATGAGCGGACTGCTCATGTTCCTGGCTGCTCGGTGTTGGCGGTGTTGTGTGGAGGTTGGCGGAGTTCGCGGTGAAGGACGCGGTCACTGGCGGCGTTGCTCGGTGGACCTTACCGGAACACAAAGTATTCCGTTCTTGAGCCATGCACGCGGCCACGCTGTGCGCTCTCCCCAGGTTGTTTTTGTTGCTGTGGTCGTATATAATGCTTAGGCTGTAGGCTTTAATGTTGCACCCGCTTATGCAC